AAAGTTTGCAGAAGCCTCGCGGGTAAGCTGTTTAGCGAGTATATACGGAAGAGAACCAAGAGAACACGTTCTCGACTACTAGTCCTGCTACTCTTATTGTAGAGTCCTACGGCCGGCCTGTGCCGCTGATCTGGGACGCTCCTAGCCAAAGGAAAGACGTGGGAGACGCAGGATGATGGACGAAGAGGAGGAGGAGCAGGAGGAGGAGGAGCAGGAGAAGGAGGAGGTGGAGCACGAGGAGGAGGAGGAGGAGGAGGAGGAGGAGGAGGAGGAGGAGGAGGAGGAGGAGGTGGGCGTGAAGCTGGAGCGAAGAGGAGTGTGCTGCTGCCTGCGGCCAGTCCCGCTGCCGTGCCAGGCCTCCGTTCTCGACGGCAGCTGCGTGACCCGATGAGGATGATTATGACGACGACGACGACGACGACGACGACGACGACGACGACGACGACGACGACGACAGCGTCGTCAACGTCGTCAACGTCGGCATGCACACCTCCACGTTAGGGCGGATGCTCTCCACTCCTTCGGGTGTCGCGTGGGGAGGGTCCCCCAGGATGCCCACGAGACGGGTGGAGTGGAATTGAGGTCTTTTCACTTTCGAGGCGCGGCCACGCGACGAGTGAAGCTGGGCAGTGTTCGTTTCGCCCCCTTGGCGTGGCAACGTGGCGAGAGGAGTAAAGCAGCTTGTCTTTCGCTCGTTCTGCGCTGCCACCGGACGGGCGAATTCAAGTAGTACCTGTGCTTGCCCACCTGCGTCATTAGCCGCGTGACGAGCAGAGCGGGAAACTGTGAGTTTAAGCCCCCCTGGTGTTCGTCGCTCGTCGTCAGGAGGCGTAGGATGAGGAGAAGGAGGAGGAGGAGGAGGAGGAGGAGGAGGAGGAGGAGGAGGTGGACGAGGAGGTGGACGACGACGACGACGACGACGACGACGACGACGACGACGACCACGACGACGACGACCACGACGACACGATCGTCGTGTCGTCATCCCCTCGCTCCTCATCGCCCCCTCGCCTCCCGCCTCCCTCTCCCACCCCCCCCCCCTCGCCCCCCCGTGGACTTCGCGGCGCCCGCCTGGGCTGCAGGGCCCCGCCCGCCCCCGAGGAGCGGCTCTTCTCGCAGCTCTGCCGCGCGGACGCCGCGCACAGCAGCGTGCTGCCCCTCGCCAGGCCGGCGGGCGGCGCCCCCCGCGGCGGGCCCTCTCGAGCAGTTGCCGACGCCAAGAAGCTGCGGGCCATGGCCACGACGACGCCGACGCCGACGCCGACGACGCCGCCGACGACGACGACGCCGACGCCGACGGCGGCGGGATGTTGCCGTCCGCTCCGCGGGTCGAGGGGATGACGGGGCGCCGTGGGCCACGGCCACGACGCTGACATGGCGACACTCTGGGAGGTTCACGGTCCGGAGTTTTGGCTTAGCGTGTGGCTCCAGCAGTTCTGGCCCACCATGCGTCGGCGCGACATGGCGACCACTTCCCGGTCCCCATGCGTCACCGTCCCGAGCTTTTCCCATCCCCCCGGCCCCCTGCCCCGCAGAGCGGAGCGACACGCTATCCGCTTGCAGGGCATGGCGTGCCGCCAGTGCCGCCAGGGCCGCCGCCGCGACACGCTATGCAACAGTTCCTGATCGTAGAATCAGCGTCGCCCCAACAAATCTTCTAGTACGTGCGTCGTGGCGGGCGCTTCCTGGCTCGGGAAACGATGAACTCCCAAATGGGTATATCATATGTTTGGGTCGGACGCGCGCCTCCAAGGAGGACATCTAGTACTGGTATGTCTTTGAGCACACAGTGCAAATACAGCTTGAGAGCTCTCTGGTCTCATTGCTTCTCTGTCACTACCCCTCGCCAGATGGGCCGAGATCATGGCCAAGGCGTTGCCCGACGTCCCCCCGGTGTGGAACGACCTCGTATCGGTGTGGGAGCTCTCCGACCCCGTGGACTATTCGCCGCGCTTGGAGCTCCGACCGCCTGGACAAGGGCAGAGTGAGGAGATGCAGTGAGGAAGGGGGGAAGGAAGGAACGGGGGAGGAAGTAAAGAAGGGGGGAGGGGAAGGAGAGGGATGAGAGGGATAAGAGGGGGGAAGGGTCCGGGGGCCACAGGAGGGAGAGGGGGAGGGAAAAGATTGGATGACAACGGGTTGGAGGGGGGAGGTGGGAAGGAAGATGTGGTGGTGAGAGCAGCGAAGGACCCCTGGGACTGAGAACAGAGTGTTCGAAGGAGAGGACAGGGAGGGATAAAAGGGAGAACGTGGGGTGGGAGTTGGGGAGACGAGATGGAGGGAAGATAGCGGGGGATGGGAGGACGGAAAGACCCTCGTGAGGGGATAAGACGGAATCAGGAAGTAGAGAGGGGTGGGTAGAGCGACGTGGAATGTTGTGTTCGTTCTCCCAGTCAGCTTCCTTCTCGTGTTCCTCCCCGCATGTGTTTCTAGCGCTCAGCCCTGGTGTAGCGTGGTACGCCAGCTCTCCGCACGTTGCATGTGTATCCATCACGAGGTTCCCGTATCTTCCGCACGTGCATCCAGCGATGCATAGTTCCGTCTTCTTGGCATTACGGCAAGTGTTGCGTTGTCTTGTCGTTTGCAGGGCAGGCGTTTAAACCCTGCGTTGCTGACATCGTGAGCTTTATAAGTTCTATGTCCCTGGTTCAGCTGCACGAGGTAACCCATCTGCTAGAGACGCAAGCCCAATACGCCACAACCGTACCTCCTAGGCTACGATTCGGGTAATAACAAACAGGTATTTGTTGTTGGGTCGGGGCGGGGGTGGGGGTGGGGGGGGATGAGAAACTATAATTTCCTTGCGCAGTTCGATATCCATTGTGACTTACGCGCCATTTCGTATGTAGGGAAAAACTGGGCATCATTTCGATGTGCATCTTAATGCTTCGCTCATTCCGCTGGCTTGAATTGTGCCATCGTTGGCGTTTGCGTGCGCATTCGTGGGCCATGCGGCGCTGCTGGTCGGCGCTATTCTGGTTGTGGGTGAGAGTCCTCATGGATGCTTCTTGGTGTCGCTTCGGAGGGTTCCCGGGGGGCTCCCGTGTAGCAGTTTTAGGGGCTTCTGGGGGCCTTTTGAGGGCGCCTCGGATGCTTCTTGCTTGGGGCTCTCTTGGCGCCTCTTGGGGGCATCTTGATCCTCTTTGGGGGTTCTTGGGGACCGCTTGGGGCAGCCTGGACGCCTCTTGGGGTTGATGGCTCGAAATGCCCTTTCGGCTTCCTTCTTCTGGGCCCCCTCTTGGGCCGTCCTGGAGCTTCCTCTGTCCGTCTTGGAGGCCCCTGGGTCGTCTTGGAGCCATCTTGGACCGTGGTGTGGTTCTCTTGGAGGCCTCTTGGGGGCCTCTTGGAGCCCGATGGGCGCCTCTTGGAGCCGAAAGCTTGGAATTTCCGGTAAGGTTTCCCCTGTGGGTCTCCTATTTGGGCCGTCCTGGGGCTCTCTTAGGCCGTCTAGGAGGCGCTTGGGCCGTCTTGGAGCTCTCTTGGGCCGTCCTGGGGCCGTTCTGGGACTGTCTTGGAGCGTCGGGAAGCCCAAAAGGCCAGAACGCCTAAATCCACCAAAAACCATAGGGGAAATCTATTAATTGTGCCTCTTGGGGCCCTCTGGGGAGTGCTCTTGGAGGCCTATTGGGCCGTCTGGGGGCCATCTTGGGCATCATGGAGCGATCTTGTCATGTCCCGGAGGCCTCCAGGACCATCCAGGGGGTCGCTGGAGGGCCTCTGGGCAGCTCTTGGGGCTCTCGGGAGGCCCTGAGTGCGGCGCCCAGGAGCAGAACCATCTCGGATGGGAACTTGCCAGGGACCTGCCCGGGACCTGCTTGAGGTATTTTTTGGCCGCGGATCCCCAGGGGCCGCCCCGCGCGCGCGAACTAGAAATACTGCGGGACAACCACAGGACGGCCACGGGACAACCCACGGGACAACCCACGGGGCAATCTGCGGGTCGACCACGATCCCCTGCGCGAGTCACGGGGGCGGAACCCTTTTGCCCGACGTGGCCCTCGCGCAGCTTCGCCTCGTCAGTGCGCACGAAACGAACCGAACTCGAAACCGTTGTTTCTGGTTGGGGTCATTTCATTCTGAACTCTCGGCTTCCGATAAACGCTCACGCGTTGGGGCGTCCGCATGAAGTCAGGCCCATCAATCGAACTTGGCCTCGTGTGGCCATTTCGTATTGTGCGCGAGTGTGCTACCCCTGTGGGGGAAATTTAAATCCATATGCAGTGCGTTTTGGACTTTCTGGGAAGGGGCGCCAAAAGGCCGAGGGGCAGCCGATATGTATACAAACCTGGGGCCAGGTTTTTATCCAGATCCGCTGCGCCCTGGGTTTGTGGGGACGGGAGCTCGAAACTCCAAGATGCAGATGATGTGGATGCACATCTTGCCCTCAGCCTCTCCCACCTCTCCCGGTGTGCCCCGCATGTGTGGCAGAGCATTGGGCGTGGGGAGGCGGAGGGGCCCCACGGGGGTGCTGCGGATCGGGGAGAAGGAGACGGACGAGGAGGGGAGCGAGGGGGGAGGAGGAGGTGCCCCACGCGGGCGCTGTGGATCGAGAGGGGAGGCGCAGGATGTCGAGGAGGAGGAGGAGGAGGAGGAGGAGGAGGAGGAGGAGAGGCCGTGTGCGAAGTGGGCGCTCAAATCTTCTGCATTTGCATGGCGACCCCTCCTATGCCTAGACGAGGCCACGGCTACGTCGAACGCCCTCAAGCTCGACGGACCAACCTACCCAGGAGTAGGAGGAGGAGGAGATCCTTGTCCTCTTCATTGTTCTCATTCCCCTCCTGATCTCCCACTCCCGATCGGAGAATTGTGCCGATTCAAGCCAGCGCAGGGTGTGCTGCTCCAGGCTACAGGCCGCGCTCAGTCCCTGCGCCGGTGGCGAGGGGGTACACTCCTGCCGTGCGCCTGCAGCCCGTGCAGCCCCTCGTCCGCTCCTTCTCTCGTTCCTCCTCGATCCCGATGCACATGGCAGAATCGCCCTCATTCTGGAGATGCCTGGGGAGATGGGGCGCCTCCACGCGGGGGCCGTGGATGTGGAGTTTCTGCATCGGTTCCAGATCGTGCCGGAGATGAGGTCTGGCGGCGGCAGGACGCACGTGGACGCGTTTCAGGCCCCGGGCCGGTTCCTACTGCCTCTGCTGCCGATCCTCTTTCTCCGTCTGGCTCCTCCTAATTACAGTCAAGATGGTGAAATCAGGAACAGTTCGGGTTCGGAAGGGTTTCACTTTTCCTCGGGCTCTTCCATGGTTGTACCCCCAGCGCCTTTCGTGCAACCAGGCGCCACTTCAGATCCCACTGCAAACCGGCGCCCTGTGTGCAACCAGGCGTCCAACCAGGGGACAAACAGGGTCTCCGTTCCCTATTCAGCGCTCTCTGGGGTAGTAGATCGGCCGTACACGTTGGCGTGATTCAGGCCATGGGGCAGCTGCAGGTCTCCATCTCTGACACCCGCGCGGAGAAGCTGCTGCGCGAGATTGACCAGGACTTTTTGTTGACTGTGAGGCGTGACGAGCCTCGGTTTCGCACCAGAGCTCGACCTCCCCCTCGCCGCGCCTCCGCGTCTGCCGCTTCGTCGGCGGCTCGCCCTCGACGAGGGGAACCGTACGATTTTGTTGACGACAGTGGGAGAGACGGGCGTCGAGGGGCGTGGAGGGTGTGCCGGGGGGGGGGGTCAGAGGTTAGCTCACAGTGTATGATTTCACATGTGTGTGACAACATTGCTCCTCATGCACGTTCTTGCCCATCCCCCACATGATCCCCATTCCCCTCCTCCTCCTCCTCCTCCTCCTCCTTCCCCTTCGCCCTTCTACTGCTCGCTGCCTCGTCCCACTCCAACATTATATCGTCCCTCTTCCTCTTCCGTCCTCCTCCTGGGACCTCTGGACATAGTACAAGTTGTTTCACCATTGCAGAGCTAGTAACAAGCAGGCAGACCCCTCCTGTGGGGATACTGGGGAATGATAAGCCCCTTCCCGAAGGGGAAGAAGAAGGTATGGAAGAACCACGTCGGCTCAGGGGGTTGGTGGGACTTTGAGTTCGGTCCAGGAATGTCGTGTAGATGATGTATGGCGAGCCTGGCCGCCAGGTTAAGCGTTGAGGGGTTTTATCAAGGATGTCTGAGCGGAGGCCTCTTAAGCCCCATGTGGCAAGCGTAGAAACATTGGACATTCGAATCCGTGAGTTTCCACGGCGCGGGCATCAGGACTCTCGGCCACATCCAGGGGACCAGTCTTTGGTCGCGGGTTGTCATCGGATTGTCCCAGGGGCCTCGCGGAGGGAGGTCCCTGGACGCTGAAGCTGTGAAACAAAGCCCGATCATGTTTCTTGTGATGCTCCCGGAGCTCTGCCGAGGTTCCTCCTCCTCCTCCTCCTCCTCCTCCTTACCCTCCTCCTCCTCATCTCCTCTCCCTCCTCCCCTCTCCCTCCTCTCTCCCTCTCCCTCCTCCGTCTCCTCCTCCTCGTCTCCATCTTCCCCTCCTCCTCCTCCTCCTCCTCCTCCTCCTCCTCCTCCTCCTCCTCCTGCCTCCTCCTTACAGTCGGCCCAGATTAGTAGGTCGACCCTGCGAAATCAAGGGTGCCCTTGTGTCCTGTGTCTCGCGACCCATGACTCCCACATTCCTGCGGCAATGTGGCCCTCGGAAGGGTCGTGTGTCCTCTCGCGTGTGCTGTCCGATCGAGTCCGACGGTAGGCCTCCTGCCTCCTCCTGGGGCCTCCTGACCCCCCCCGCCCTGCAGGACATGAGCGGCACCGTGGACCTGGCCGAGTTCCGCCACTTCCTCGTCCACTGGGGGGTCGACGTGCCGGAGTGGCAGACCGCGGCGATCTTCGAGACTCTCATGGTCGCCGCCGGCCTGGGGGCGGCGCCGGGAAGTTTCAGAGGCGACGACAGGGGCGAGTAGTCCAGGGGACATGTATCCAGGGGCGCCGATGATTTCTGTCTTCGACAAGGCTCCCGGGCGAATGCGTACAATGCCCGCCCCTGGACTATTCGCCCTTATCGTCGCCGCCGAAAGTTGGGCAGGAGTGGGCTTCCCCTCGCCCAGCCTACCTCGTTCAGTCTCCCTGTTCCTTCATGCTCTGAGGAGGATGACAGGGAGTTCCTGCCCTCCTCCTCTCTCCTGCGCTATCCTCGTCCTCCTCTTCCTCCTCCTCCTGAACCTAGAGGCGTTTACCGGTGCCCGCTCTATCTACACTCTGCTCCTGAAAGACTATTATTGGCCTGTCTCGCTAGCTGTCTGTGTATACCAGTCGGGGCGGAAAGCAGTGGAGAGCGGGCGAGCCGACGGAGGCAGGCAGAGAGCGTCATACACTTTAGCAGAGCAAGTCGAAATCAGACAGCCAATATTGATCAACATCGGATGTCTTACTTGGCGGCAGCCTTGACCATCGCTGGATCTCGAGTACCGCAGGGAGCGAGCTCGTTTTGTTCGAAGGCAGTGCAGCTTATTCGCGCTGAAATGAAACTTGTTCGTCGAATGCTACATGTTGCACGCGAGGGAAGTGCAATACACCTCTGTTATAGAGACATGGGGACTTTACATCTTGGAAACACCAGCAATCGGGCCGATCTCCCCGTAGTAAACTACACAAGATGAGCATCGTGTTGTAGCCCGGCGAGAGGGACGTTCTGAGCGCTCATGTGTTCGCTCTCGCCGTAACTCTTGGCTTTCAGCGTGGGGCTTGTGGCCATCGCGCGCGCGTGTTGTGCGTATACGAGCAAGCGTGAGCGTAAGTGCAAGGGCAGGTTTGAGTGTGTGCAGGCGTGTGTGTGTGTGTGTGCCCCCCCTCCGCGGCCGCCCCCTCTTCCCTCTGCCAGCTCTTGCACGCTGGCCAATTCGCTTCTCGGTGCCCCCGTTTAGCTCCATCGCTGGTGCAGCCAACGCTGCCTCGCCGCCGACGGGAAAAGATGTGTGCACTGCGTTCTGCGGGGTGCCGGCGGTTGGTGCAGCCCCCTCTCGCAGTTTCGCAGGCGACGGCGCTCCCGGCCTCCCCCACCCGTCGGTGCCTCGGGCAGCGTGGAGGCGGCACTCAGATCGTCTTGGCCACGGTCGGCGTCGCCGCCTCCCAACTGGTCATACACGCACTGGCTCTCCGCGGGGCCAGCATCGAGGCTCTCTACAAGGCATTCCCTGTCGAGGCCGCTTCCGTCGCGCTACCCTGTTCCCCCAGACATGATGGCTTCGTGAAAAAATCAGGACGGAGGTTTTTCGCCGTTTTCGACCTCTAGAGGCCCTCGCCGGGCCCCGGGACCGTCAAGAAACGACTCAGGATGAAAAACCGGTCCCGGGGAAAGTGTCGTGACTTCTGGGGACTGCATATTGGACAAATCAAGACGTCGCATGTCTGGGCCCGGACGCTGGGTACACATGGCGCGGCTGGCCAGGGCGCCAGCTGGATGTACACGTGGCCGGGTGTGTCTCTGGCCCTCGGCACTTCAGCGGCAGGGTGCGCCGGCCCTCCACGGGCATCCCGGCGCATAGCCTCCACATGTTCCACGCACGAGTCGAGCCACGTGTGCTTCCAGCCTCCTGGCATGAGCCTCCGGGCGCGCGCGCGGGGCCTTTCTCCTCTCCGCCTGCTTATGCCCAACTTCTTGTCCTCCACGCCGTCGGCCGCGGCCGGCGGGGAGGAGGAGGACGCTGGGCGACGCCCCGTCGAGCAGAACGCCCGTGTGAGTTGTTGTGCAGGCCGAGGCTTCCGTCGACCCGTCCCTCGTGCCTGTCCTCCTCCCAGGGCTCGTGCCAAGTGGTGTTTTGGCGATTTCGTGGGCCGGCTTCGTCTTGATATAGCTTTGCGGTCAGGGCGGAACGGAAACAGAACGTGGGAGAGCGTACCGTAGGTTTGTGTCGTTTCGACCAGCGGCGACCCAGGCGTTCAACCTTGAGCGCGGCTGGCGACACAGAATGGGTCCCATGGTGAACGATCTGACATTTCGGAGAGGGCCGATCGTTCAAGGTTGAATGATCCTCGCGCTGTCAGGAACCAACGCCGAAGTCGGCACGACACGAACCTGCCATAAGCAACACGGAACTGAAAAACTTTGTTTAGCTCAAGACCTGCTTCTTCCCCTCCCCTCTCCTCCAATCTGCTTATCATCGCTCCCTCGGGAAGGCCCCGCAGCAAAGAGCGCGTTCTCCCCACCTTCACCGCTTGCGGCAGCGCGCGCGAGACAGCCAAGGTCAGCCTGAACAGGAACCCGTGCGTGGACGATGTTCTCACAGCCATCGCGCTGGTAAGCCACAGGGAGAAGGAACGCCTTCTCTCCCGACCCGTCTTCTCGTCACGACGTGTTTTAGTTTATTGGCCACCACCACCCCTGGAGTTTGAGCGGAACGCCCCAGCGGTGGCCACACCACAGTTGAAAAGTGCCCACCACCTTTGGTTTGATTTACGTACGCAGCGGTGGAGGTGGTCAAACGTTTCGTGATGTCCTCCCCCTTTGCGTGTGTAGTTACCTTTTGCTGACCTACCGAAGTTGAACACAGAATTGCCAAGAGGCCAGTCGTGCCTCGCATTCTGGCCTTGAGCACTCGGAGTCAAGGGCGTCCATTCTGCGCCGCTTGTCGAGGCCACCGCGTTGTCTTCAGTTGCGAGTTGTTGGCCGATCAGCCGATCCATTCTTGCCCCGTCTTTGGAGGGGAAGGGGGAGGGGGGGACTTGACAGGGAATGGAGGGGAGGGCAGGGTGGCCTTACCTCAGGTCCCCCGGTGCTCTGGTCCTTGAAGGGCCCAGCCTCCCTACCCCCCCTGCCGATCCCCTCCCCTTGCCTCTCCTCTCCCCCCCCCGCCCCTCGGCGCTCCTCCCCTATCCCCTCTCCTCCCCCACTCTCTCCAGGCCTCCTGGATGGGATCAGAGTGAAACCGCTCGGATTACCAACATGAAGCGCGGGCCCCATAGGGAGGGGGCTCCCGCCTGAGACTCCCTCGCGATTCACTCACAGACGAGGCTCCCGCCAGATGATGCTGAGTGATCAGAGAGAGTGTGTGATGTGCGACTGAGTATGTTCCTGCGCGGGGTGTCCGGAGAAGATGATGCTGAGTGATGAGAGGGAGAGTGTGTGCGTGTGATATGCGACTGAATTTGATGATGATGGCGATGGTGGTGATGTTGATGCTGATGATGATGATGATGATGATGATGATGATGATGATGATGATGATGATGATGATGATGATGATCGATGGCCGATGGTGATGGTGATCGATGGTGAGCGACTGAGTATGATGATGGTGGTGTTGATGATGATGATGATGATGATGATGATGATGATGATGATGATGATGACCGATGGTGATGATGACCGATGACGGGGTGAATGCGTGAGTGAGGCGGAGAGTGGGAGGGAGGTCCAAAGAAAACAATAACCCCACTGTGGATGTGAGGAAACATAATATCGGGGCGATTTTTTGATTTGTTTGTCTCTTTGGGAGTATTTTTGGGGTAGGCGATTTTTCCCAATCAGAGCTTGCCTCTGTAGGGGTCCTAGCGGATTCATATGGTTAGGTTAGGTTTTCCGCCGATTTTCGCCGCACGCCCGTGTGCCCGGGTGCCTGGGTTCCCAGGTGCCCGGGTGCCCAGGTGCCCGGTAGCTCTACATAGCCCTATAGCCTTATAGCCCTAATAGCCCTAATAGCCCTGTAGCCTTATAACCCTATAGCCCTATAGCCCTATAGCCCTACAGCCCCAGAACCCAATAGCCCTATAGCCCTATGGCCCTGTAGCCCTGTAGCCCTATAGCCCCATAGCCTTCTAGCCCTATAGCCCCATAGCCTTCTAGCCCCATGGCCCTAAAGCCCTAAAAAGATTATGATTGGGATTTTTCAACGGTATCATTTGATTTGTCTGTCTCTTTGGGGGTATTTCGGGGGTATTTTTTATTTTATTTTTCGTCCACAATCCCCCTGTAGGGGGGCACGCCCGACTTAACCCCAGTGTCGGGCGTGCGGGGGTCTGCGCGCCGAGGCCTGCACGCAGCACTGGCTCGAACGTAAGCCAGCCGGCCCGCGCCCGCACTCCTGCCCGCACTCCTGCCCCCAATCCGTCGCGCCCACGCCTCCCGGTGCCACCCCGCGTCTCTTCCCAGACGTCCGGGGCCTTGAGACTCTCAACGCTCAAGCAGTAGCGAGGCGTCCGGTGTCCTAAGAGACCTTTGGTTGTTTGCGCGGAGTGTTATTCGGCAACATCTGGCTGATATCGTCATCTTGTGATGCATCGTCTCTATGTTCTGAGAAGACTGATGAGAACACTCTTGCGTTCTAAGAACATCCCTTGGTAGGCATCTGCCCGGACGGTGAGCCCCTGTTCAAAATACGAGGTCTTAGGAAGTCCCGCGCTTTTCCCAGGGCTGGTTCTTCATCCTGAATAGTTTTGACAGTCCTGGGGCCGGGCGAAGGCCCCCAGGTGCCGAAAGATGTGAAACGCCTCCGCCTCGAGTTCCTCGAGTAGTGAAAACGTAAGGCTTGAGTGCGCCACAGCTCGGGTGTGCGACGCTTTTTGACAAGCCCGCCCTGAACTCTGACGACCCAATGTTTGCTGGGATGTTTGCAGCGGGAGGCCGCGCCAAATCTCAAACTGGGTTTCGTAATTTTCCCGAGGGCCCAACCAGGCCAACCCGAGTCCCCCGAACCCCCGAGTCTTATACGTGCCCCCGATCGAGATGCTGGCTCTTCCTCCTGAGTCGTTGTTTGGCAAGGCCAGGGCCCCCAGCGGCCAAGAACTGCGAAAAACGCCTCTGCCAAAAGCTTCTTGCGACGTGGGGGAGGCTTGAGTCAGGACGCGGATGCGCGCGGCGCACCCGAGGAGGGGGGAGGAGGAGGCGGAGGAGGAGGAGGAGGAGGAGGAGGAGGAGGAGGAGGAGGAGGTGGAGGGTAGGGCGAGAGCCAACTTCACGGGCACCAGTCTCCCGGGCACGTGGCCCTCGTGCGGCCGCGCGCGTGCACGCCCTGAGGCGCTGTCCCCGCGCGCTCCCGCGCTCGAGGGCCCCCTCGCGGACGGCAGCCGCGTGCCCACGTGTTGCGCCCGCGCGCCTGAGACCCTGGCGCCGCATTTTTGTTCACAACCGGCGTTTTCGCTTTGTTTCGGGCCCCGGGACCTTCACACAGATCGATCTGGCTCGAAAAATGAAGCAGAAAGATGGGGTCCAGGGCTCCTGTCGTGATTTTTATTGCGTGATGCTGCAATTTTCCTGCAACGTCGGATCTCAGGGCCGCGCGACCCGACGCCGCGACGCCCTCCTTGGCTGCGCTGCGTGGAAGCCACTGGGGGCTCCCCCGCCCGCTTGGCGGGATGGCGGCGTCGGCAGAGGTTGGCCGGGCCTCGGATTGCCGACCGCTGTTGCCTCCCGACGGGGTGCGGCTGCCACGTCCCCACCTCCCCCCGTGGAGGGTGGGACGCTCGGGAGAAGAAGTGTCCGGTTGCACCTCCTGCCCTGCTTGCCCAGCAGAGCCGGCCCGCCCCGGATACGGGCAAGATCGGACGGGGCGGGGACGAGGATATATCCGTTCCAGCGCGTCCCTGAAGGCTCTCAGAGCGTTCTGGGACGCTCTGAGAAGGCCGCGGCGCCCGAGACATCCTCCAGAGCCGCGGGATCTCAGAGAGTCTCGATTTATCCTCACCCGATGTTACCCTCGTCCTGGCTTCGTCTTACAAGATTTGTATCCGTATCCACTGCGTCTCGGAGTTTCGGGCTCCCTCGAGGCCAGATCCTTCTCTGATTCCGCTGGGCCTCCGCCTTTTGGCGCCCCTTCCTCGAAAATCCAACACGCAGTGGGCATGGGCACAAATCAGGCCCGCAACGGAGGAGGCGCACAACAAGTACGGGGCGTACGCGGACGCGGCGCAGACGATTGGGGATGAGATTAAGCGGTCAGGCGCCGTCGGATCCCTGCGCGCCCCGCTGGCCTCTCCCCAGCACGCTGCGCGCTCGTCGGTCTCCTCTCCTCTTGCCTGGCGCATGTCCTCGGGTCCCCCGCAGCCCCCCTGTTCGTTGCCCTCCTCCTCCTCCCTCTCCTCCCTCCCCCTCCTCCGGCTCCTCGTGCCTCTACCCTCCCCTCCGCCTCCTCCTCTTCCCCCTCCCCTCCTCCGCCCCCTCCCCTCCCCTCCGCCTCGTTGCCCTCCTCCTCCTCCTCCTCCTCCTCCTCCTCCTCCTCCTCCTCCTCCTCCCTCTCCTCCTCCCCCTCCTCCGCCTCCTCGCGCCTTCACCCCCTCGACCCGTTCCCACCGCCCTTGTCCTCCTGCCCCTGCCTCCCCTTCCTCCCGTTCCAGTCGTCTGGCCTCCCCGAGTCGTCGTGGTCGTTGTCCTCCTCCTCCTCCTCCTCCTCCTCCTCCTCCTCTTCCCCCTCCTCATCATCACCATCGTCGTCATTATCATCATCGTTCCCAACATCACTACGGCCCTAATCATCACCACCACCATCATCATCATCATCATCATCATCATCATCATCATCATCATCATCAGCAGCAGCAGCATCATCATCATCTTCGTCATCAGCATCACCATCAGCATTAACATCAGCATCAGTGCCACCATCATCACATCAGTATCATCATCAGCATGATCAGCATCATCAGCACCATCATCAGCATCATCATCATCAGCACCACCATCATTATCAGCGTCGTCATCATCATCATCATCATCATCATCATCATCATCATCATCATCATCATCATCATTAGCAGCAACACCACCATCGGTTCCATCGGAATATTTACCATCACCATCATCACCAGCTTCCCCGTCATGATTATCATCATCAGAATCATCATCACAATCGTCCTCATCATCATTGTTTTCATCATCATTACCATCACCACCATCATCGTCACCATCACCAGCATCATCCTTACCAGTCATCTTCATCTTCAGCATCAGCACCATCGTCCTTATCATAAGTTTGTGTCAGCATCATTATCATCACCACCACCTTCATCGTCACCATCATCACCATCATCATCCTTGTCATCGTCATCTTCATCTTCGTCTTTATCGTCCTCCCTCACCCTTCCTCTCACTTGCCCCCGAACAAACCCCTGCATCTTCCCGACTCTTGCCTCTCGTCACTCCCCCTTCCTCCCTCCCCCCACGCCCTCCTTGCTCCCCACCCCTGTTTTAACATCCTCCTTTCCTTTCTCCTCCCACCAATTCACCCCCCCTCTTTTCATCTCGCTCGCCCTCTCCTCGCTCGCCCTGGCCCCCCCCCCGCCCTCGTCGGGCTCGGCGTCTCAGCCCGCGGGAGGCGACGAGCAACGACGCCCCCCGGCAACGGGCCACGCTCGAAGCGGACCCGATGCGCCCAAGGTCAGCCGACGTCCAGTGATCACCTCGCCGCTCCTTGCCTGGTCGAGCCCGGGCCCAGGAGCGGTGTATACGCCCTCCTGCTTTGGCGAGGCAGGCATGTACGTAGTTACCCCCGCTTTGGGCCCAGGGCAAAACATCGCACAATTGTTATGGCTACTTGTGGCCATGAAAGCATGTGGTGTTCCACCAATAGCCATACATGTTTTTGCTTCGAGCGATCCCCACCGAAACCTTCGGCGTTTGTCTTTAAGGGTGCGCGCGCCTACTGGAACGACGTGTGCGGGGCCTGGCGGTCTCGGCCAGCGCGGCGGCCGGGCCAGATCGCAAGTTGATGTTTCCCGACAGTCTAACAATCCCAGGGCCCTTCAAGAAATCGAAACTAGTCCATGGAGCGACAAACCATCCCCCTCTAAGCGAGTCTTGCGAGACGCAAGAACTTGTTCGGAGAGAATCTGCAGCATGATGAACAGGGGAGAGGAGGAGCAGAAGCAGCAGCACGAGGAGGAGGCGGACGATAAAGGAGGAGGAGGAGGAGGTGAGGCGGACCTTTCCTCCTCATGCTGAGGACGTCCCGTCCTTCTCTGACGACGGGGCGCATGTCGCGTTTGATGAGACGCCGTGCAGTGGTGGCTGGCTTATACGTAACATCGTGCTATCTTATGTTCTGGTCGGTTATGGCCCAGTGTAGTATATGGCAGTCTGTTATGTTATGTTATGTTATGTTTTGGTCGGGCCGGCGTGACGTAGTGACGCCTTTCACGTTTGGTGTGGTTTCTAATCGGTGGTTGTTGCTACTGTTTGCTTCTGTGGCCAGCCTGGGCTCTGTCTGCATGTAGCGTATCACAGGCCGCCAGTACTCAGTCTCTGCTGACTACTTTATCACGTTGTGTTCGGTTACGTTCTTTTCTACGCACATCTGGTTGTTTCTGTTCTGCTCTCGACGGGGCGGCGTGACGTCGTGACGCCTGTCGCGTTTGATCAGTATGTCGTCTAATCGGTCATTGCCGCGCCTACTTTTTTCCGGTGGTCAGGAGCGGATGCTGCGCTTGCCAGCGCGCCCTCAATGTTTCGTTGTTGTATTCACCAGTGTGCAATTCAGCTGTGCTCGGTAAGGTTGAATTCTGCGATGCTGCACTGTGATGATGTTGTCGACAGGACGGCATGTCGCCGTCACGTTATATACGTCGTCCGATCGGTCGTTGCTGCGCCTTTTCGTACCTGTGACGGGGCTGACCTTGACGCGCACGTCGCGTCTGATCACGTTGCGGCACGGCATGTATGTGAAGAAGTTCCTCTCCCAGTTAATGTTTCTTTTATTTTGGAGTATGTTATGGTATGCTCACCTCTGCCAGTGTACGACTTGATATGGTATGATATGCTCTGCTCTGTGGCACCACGCTATGGCATGATATGTCTGTTCTGTCAGGTCATATGTGATGCTGTTCAGTGTATGCCCAGTTCGTTTAAGTAACTAACATGAAGTTGTATGGCCAATCGTGTTATTTCGAAACCGTTAACGTAGGTGCAGCAGTAGTAGAACAAGTTTGCTGTGGTGTGCTGGTTACGGTGTGCTCTATTCGTTATACCATGGTGGTATGATAATGTTATTTTGGGTTGTGCTCTATTATGTCTGTTCTGTTCTCGACGGGCCGGCGTGGCGCCGACGACTGTCACAATAGATACGTCGTCCGACCGCTCAATTACTGCGCCTGGTTGCTCCCGTGGCCAGCCTGACTTCGGCTCGCACGTCGTTTTTCATTATTGCAGTACAGTGTACCATGCTGTGGTGAAATGCTTTGTCATGGTATGAAATGCGGCGATCCTGTGTTATGGTATAATATGTTCTGCCTTTGTGCGGAATGGTATGCTCTGTTCTGTTACGCTATGGAATGGTGTGCTCCGTCCCTCGTTTCATGATGTGCGGTAGTGTGTTATGCTCTGCATGCTCCATGATGTCATTGCATGCGTTGTTGTGATGAGCCAATTCTTGCCATGCTTTGACATGCTTTGGCATAGTATGCGTTATTATGGCATGATGTTGCAACACATGTTGGTACATAATGGTATAAGGTGTTGCGCCGCGCTCCGTCATGGTATGGGGTGTCTTATTATGGAGTGGTATATGTTGTGATGCAGTTATACGTTGTGGTATGCTATTGCATGGTATCTTATGTTCATCTGCGGTAAGGTATGTTATGTCACGTTAACGTGGTATGGTATGCGATGCTATGTGATATGATGAGGCGTGTTGTTATGCTTTGCTCTGTGTGCTTCACTATGACATAGCTTGTGATGTTATGCTATGTTCTATTACGATATGATGTAACCCATGTTGCCACCCTCTGTCGTGTTATGATGTGCTACCTGCGTTGCGATGCTCTGTGGCATGTGGTATGTTATGTGATTGTGTGTTATGTTGTGGTGTGTTCTGCCATGTTATGCTACGTTATGACATGTGATGTCATGGTGTGCTATGCTATGATATGGTATGTCAGAGGATGCATGTGTCGTTATTTAGTGCTAGGCTATGATAGGGTGTGTAATGTTGTGTGAGGCTGTGCCATCTTAGGTGTTTGTATTGCCAATTAACTATGACATGCGTTATCATGCTATGTTTGATGATGCGCTGCTCTGGCATGGTGTGTTGCCTTACGATATGGTGTGCTACGGTCGGACATGTTACATTCGGTGGTGTGGTGTTATGTTCTGCTATGTCATAGCTTATCGTGTTGCGCTGTACTACGTTCTACTATTGTATAATTCCACTCTGTCATGTTATGATTGGTCGGCGCGAGGAATGACACTCGGAGACACTCGGGGGAACTGGGGATCTGGCGGCCGCGGTGTGCCCAGTGGCGCGAGGCGGGACGGTTGTTCTCATAATCTAACGACGCCAATTTGTCGGGTGGAGAACATCGTGTGATGTGCCATCTTGATCTTATGGCCACCGGAGGCACGTGTGATGTCCCACCTCGGCCAGGCCAGGATCGGTGAGGGGCTCCGAAAGCGGTCGGGCCGAGCGATGCATGCTTCGATGGGCCACCGAAGCTTCGAGGGAACGCGGGGCCCATGTGCCGCTCACCCCGTGCCCAGAGCTCGGGTGGCAGGGGACGTGCGTCCAGCGCGACCACGTCCGCAAGGCGGGAGTCCTGTCGGCAGCCAGTGGCGGAGAGCATGGCTAATGGACCATCAGTTTCCCGGATCTTTCTCCTCCTCCTCCTCCCCCCCCTTCCCCCCCCCTCCTCCTCCTCCTCCTCCTCCTCCTCCTCCTCCTCCTCCTCCTCCTCCTCCCTCCTCCTCCTCCTCCTTCCTCCTCCTCCTCCTCTCCTCCTCCTCCTCCTCCTCCTCCTCCTCCTCCTCCTCCCCTCCTCCTCCTCCTCCTCCTCCTCCTCTCCTCCTCCTCCTCTCCTCCTCCTCCTCCTCCTCCTCCCTCCTCCTCCTCCTCCTCCTCCTCCTCCTCCTCCTCCTCCTCCTCCTCCTCCTCCTCCTCCTCCTCCTCCTCCTACTCCTCCTCCTCCTCCTCCTCCTCCTCCTCCTCCTCCTCCTCCTCCTCCTCCTCCTCCTCCT